AACTAAATGGGCTACAAAACTGCATGCCCAAAATATTAAAAAAAAAAAACGAATTTAAAAGTTCGAAATTTTTACATAAGTTTGTTGGTTTTTTCAAATGTTCCACAAAGATTCAGACTTGGATTCATATGGTTTTTGTTGAAAATTATACTGTACTTTTTTAAACAAATATTTAAAAGTAAAAAATATTAATTTTTTTTTTAATTTGTTTTTAAATTTCTCATTTGAGGTAATATATTTTAAGCGCAATTTTGTCGAGCTCTGAGGGAGGGGCGATCGCCCCATGTCCCTTCCCTGTATCCGCCACTGCCTTCTCCTTATCAACCCTGATCAGATTTTACCGTGGCTTCAGTTAAAACGAGGAGGTTGTGCGCACATGCCCTGTAGTGAAAAGCTGAACCAGTATGCACAAATTCCAGTTCATGAACTATTATTTAAGGATAAAAAAGTTATACCAGTTCTCCGCAGTGAAATGCAAAACCAGCCAGTATATCAGTAGTAGTAGTATCAGCGCTACCTGTCTTTGAATAGGCACAACCAAAGCTAAAATGCGGTTAATTGCTTTCATCTCAAATGCCGGCTGTGGCGTCAAGTGAGCGAACACTACCGATTCTGGTTCTGACATCTCAGGTTGGAGTGCGCGTGGAGGTTGTTAAAGTATACAGTATATTTTGCTTAGCTGCACATCCTTCTTTGCATGAAAAACTTGTGCACTTAACCGAAAAAGGCACTTAAGCGAATTTTCTTTACTACTTCAATGAGGAAGGTATCCAAATCCCTATGAAACCAAATAATGGAGAAGCACTTATGTAGCACGTAGAAATTAGAAATTACATAAATTAATAACCATTTTCGTTGTTCTGCGAGCTGAACAAAATAAATAAAAAGTTGTAAAATTAGGTAATTGTAGCGCCAGTTCAGGTAAACGTAATACTTTCTTTGATAATTGATACTAGTCGCACAATTTTTAAAGCAGGTATCGCCAATGTGCAGGTATGCTAAATGCATCTATCGGAGCAGTTTCCTTATAAATGTTAAAAATAATGCCTCTGATGCGCATTTTGGGGTAGGTATCTTAAATGTGCACTTAAGCATAGACGCAGCAAAGCAAAATATACTGTAGTAAGTAAATTAATTTAAATAATTATTTCAATTAAAATATAAAATTAAACTTTTACATAAATTTAATTTGATTTGGAAAACACCATAAAAAAATTATGAGAAATAATTTTTTGTTCTTTTTAAAACAACAAATTTACAATATACACAAGAGATTAAAGAAAAAGCATTACAGGAAAGCGCAAGGACAACCCCAATTTTCGACATAAACTATGCGCCTGTAGAGCATGCAAACAACGCAACATGCCTCGGCAGCAGCTTATGGCCAGTGTTGCCGTTTTGATCCATATACTTCAAAGGAGATACTTAAATTTTCGCGTAGTACGATCTTTGAAGCGTCACAAAGAGGAAGTATACATATGCATACATAGGTTCGTTCGCGTAGCTGTTAATTGTTCATGTTTAACCAAAACTTACAAGTTTTTGCGTTCGCGTACGCAAAAAACTTGCAAAGTAGGGGAAATTGAGAGAGCAAAGTGACATTTCATTTTGAGGGGAAGCTGTTGGTTTCTGCTGGAAAAATTTTTGCCAACAGCAATTTGCCAACAGGAAAACAGCTGATCAAAAACAGCTGGTTGGCATTTACGCAAATCACAAAATAGAATTTGATGGTTTGGAAGTAAAAATTACAAAATGCGACTAATTAAACTTGTAAGAAATAAGTAGTTATATGTTTAATCAATAAACTGTGTCAGTATAACACTTTGTGATAACTTTTCGTACGTTTTAAATTTTACACTTTTGAATGTAAATAAAAATTATATCAGCTGTTCGTCTAACTTGCAAGTTTCTGCAAATTTTCTGTTCGCGTACTATTTTGGATATTTCTCTCTTGTGAGCGAACAGATGACATTTCGCCGGAATTTGGCAGTTGGTTGGTTTCTGCTGAGATTTTAAACGAACGCACCTCATATCTGTGTTCATATGGAATAGTAGCGAATGTCGAAAAGCTGGCTGTAGTATAATGCGGCATTCGCAGCATACGATTGCGAATGACTCACTGGCTCCGAACCGTTTAAGAACTTTTGGCAAATAAACGTGCAGTTCCGATACTAGCAAGTCAATATTCTTATTAAGTCTCATCAAAACATTCCTTGTCGTTCAAAGGATAAAGGGAATGCCGCATTGTACTAAAGCCAGCTACTGTACATAAGCTACTATTCCATACGAACACAGATATGTATGCTATAACAGCTTTTAAAATTTGATCGAAAATATTGAAAATTTTGTGGTCAAATAAGTTTAAAAAGTGCTTTAACGAGACTATTGAATAATGAGCTGACTGCATTAATTTTTACTTTACTTTACTTGCCTCATACAAAGCACTGCGGCTGCAGAGCGTAGGTATATTTTCAGATTTAAAATTTATCCAGTATGAAAAGAGAAGTATACTTTTTGACATAATTTCCAACGGGTTTAACTTGGAATGTATCATATAATTCGATAACACCGGCACACAAAAAAAGTGGTGCGTGCTTTTAACCAGACCCACCATCTGAGGAGCGTTTGACTCGTATACCTCCTAAATTTCGAGTTAATTGCGAAATTAAAAAAAGGCAAAAAACTCGCAATTTACTCGAAATTTTGAGAGTGTACGAGTCAAACGGATCTCAGAATCGGATTCAATGGGCCGAAATACATGTCGGTAAGTCGGCCTGGTTAAAGGCACACACCCCTTTTTTGTGCCGGTTTAATTATTTTTATTAAAGTTTCTGTGAAATCTGTACATAATATTTTGTTCGTCTTTATACAAGATTACAAACAATAATTTATATTTTGTTAGATTGTCTTTATGTGAATACATACATACCCTGCAGGGAAAGCTACCAGTTGTGAACCAGAATGCTACTAGTTTGCGGTTCAGCCCAACTAGTTCACGTTGTATCCTTTTTCAATGTTAGCGACTGGTATTTTTAACATGGCGGTGTCATAGGAATTGCCAATTGTCCGCTCCTGCATCAGCACACTACCAGTAGAAATACTAGAAGCATCATACCAGTTGACTATATACTACGTTTATACGCATGCATAAGTCGCTTTAATTCATTTCGCCGCGATTCAAAACATATGTATAAACTGAATTTCAATTCGCTTTGAAAGAGCGAAGTGTTTTGGCTCACAATCCATTTCAAATCGGTAGTTTATTTCTCCAGACAGTTAGAAAGAGTGTATAAACACCGCTCTCACTCAAAGTGAATTGGAGGTCAGCTGTTCCGCTCAAATTCCAAATAATCGCATCAGTATTTAAAAGCTGATTAATAATAATCGATCTTTTTCTTTGCCACGATTTTATAATGCCGAATAAAATTAGATTTTTATCACTTTCCATTATGTTAACTTATAAAATGTCAAATGAAAACAGCTTATTTTGTTTGCTTTTGAAGACGGTTACTTTGATGCCGATATAAAGCCGTAAGTATAAGCACTAGAGCGAAATGTGCCTATTCATCCCCCGTGAAAAGCATAAGTATGTCATTTTGCTCGCGGCGCTGCAACAGTGGTAATGGTCGACAGAGTAAAGCTTTGGCACGCCAAATCAAGAAATCTGAGTTCGAATCTCAGGGTGCGAATCTTTTTTAATTTTTTTTTTTTTTTTTTTTTCATTTATATTCCTTGTGTAATTTTTAAATTTATTGTTTTAAAAAGAAAAAATTATTTATTTTCATTTTTTACGGTATTTAAGTATTTAGGTTTTTTCCAAATCAAACTAAATTTATGTTCAGTTTTTATTTTATATTTAAATTAAAATAATTATTTCAAATCATTTCACTTACTTTACTTTAACAACCTCCACGCGCACTCGAACCTGAGATCTCTGAACCAGAATCGACGCCACAGCCGACATTTGCGATGAAAGCAATTAACCGCATTTTAGTCTTGGTTGTGCCTATTCAAAGACAGATGTCGCTAATCGCATAAGTTGTTCGAAATCGCCGAAATGGTAGGCCGTCGCTTTGGCACATACAAATTAATGAACTAGTATTTATACTGGCTGGTTTGGCATTTCACTGCGGAGAACTGGTACAATTGTAGTCCACGACGATCTGGTATGACTTCTCCATTTAATACCAGTTTTCTTACTAGAATTTCTACCAACTGGTTTACTTTTTTCTATGAGGAACTGGTATAATTATGGTTCATAACGAACTGGTATGACTTATCCTTAAATAATAGTTCATGAACTGGAATTTGTGCATACTGGTTCAGCTTTTCACTACAGGGTATGTATGTGTATGAATGTAAATTACATGATTTTTTAGTTATTGCATTGTTGACAATAATAAAAAGCAAAGATCTAAAACCAAATAGCATTTTTTTACATTTTTTTTTCTAACTTGATACTTAAAAAAAATTTTTGATCCAATTTTAGATTTTTTACGATACATTTTCCCATGACGTCGAGGCAACACTGCTTATGGCAGACTGATTCGTTGGTTGCAAGGCGAATTTATATAAGGTGGTGTTTCTAGCTCAGCTGATTTTGTGTATGTGTTTCGCCGCACGGCTTCTGTTATCAAACTGAAAAAATTTCTTTGAATTTCTACACACACGCTTACAGATTTTGACAGTTTATGCCGCCAAAGCAAAAACAAAATACATGTAAATTTTCGTATTTGTACTCCTGCTATCACCTTATATTAATTCGCCTTGGTTGGTTGAATTCCGTTTTTGTTCCACAAAATAATGTGTGAGCATATACATACGTGTGAAAAGCATACAGTTAAGCTGTACGCGTGATATGAAATACCCATTACTGGTTTAGAAGAAAACTATTGCTACTTGTAACTCACGTCACTTGTAATACCAAAGCGTTTTTATTGAAAAATATTACGATAGATTAATCTATTTCGTATATTGCTAATTCCGCGTTCTCATTTTAGGTATTGGTTACGCTGCTGCTGTAATGTCGTGTTGGATGAACGTTTACTATATAGTAATTTTGGCGTGGGCCGTGTTTTATTTCTTCATGTCCATGAGAGCGGGTAAGAATAAATGATAGGCAAAACTTGCCAAACTAGAGTTAACCAAAATACCTAAATTTTAGTAATTAATCTTACTTTTATTAAAAGCGTATTTTCGTATCTATAAGTATTATTTATGTGAGTATACTGTCCAATAAAAAATTTTAGTTTTTGGCACATTTTTCTAAATACCTTTATTCCCTAGCGCAAACTCCCTTTCTCAAACTCTACACCCTGATTCACTTATAAGGGCACATTTTTTTTCATTTATATCTGAACATACATAAATATATCTGAACTCGTGGTCATCGGGGCAGCTTCATTTTAATCTCGTTTCGAAGAAAAGCGATGAAAATGATGAAGACACCTTTTTAATTTGGTTTTTATGCGGTTATGAGGTGAGTTTGGTCAAAGGCTGTGGTACGCTCAACGAACCCAGACTCGGACGGGCGTCCCACTTCTCCCGCCGAAATAATACTGAATATGGGTATTCTCGTTGTCTTGCACGTTGCACGAATTCCACGAAAAGCCAAAATACTATTCCAAATTTGCAAGAGTATGTACGAGAGCACCCCATTGGTAGCAAGCAGTGGAATTCTGTATCAAATACAATAACAAAATACAGCAAAAAATTAAGTGAGCGAAATGAGAGGAACGATAGAAATGTGTAGAAATTCCAACAAAAAAACAGCTAGCACAAGGTCGCATTTATCGCTATGCTTTTTTACAAAATATATGCCTGGCTTTAAACGTTGCATAATTTGCAGCGATCGGAAATGTTGTCTCCCATGTATTTTGTTGTTGCGTGTTTGCATGTGTTGCAATCCATGCAACGTGCAACGTGCAACGGCTTTGCAAGATTTCGAGAATACCCCTAATAATTTAGTGTATTAACTTCGAACACGCACAAGCCAACGCATCTCTATGACCAGAGGGCCGCCAACCTTGCGTTCAGGAAGCAAGAGAGAGTAACTACCCACCAAAAAATTTGCGCCTTATATAAGGCTTATAGATCATATAAAATAAACCCGTTTGCACCACGTTACACTTCACTTCATAATTAAGATAAGACAAGTCGTACATTTTATGTTCCGTCTTGGCAGCAACCAATTGATTCAAGCATCTTTGCACACTCAGCTACACTGAGAAAAAGGATTAGTTCCGACAACTAAAGATATTTAGTTCCCGAATTTCGACAGTATTTGGGAACTGTTACCAAGGATTGGGAACTATGGGAAAATTTTAGTGAAATTCGACACGAAAAAAAAATAAATTAAAGTGAAGACCCAAACCCGCGCACTCTTATAGTTTTTAAGTAATTTGTTGTTAAAGTTGGGAAATTCACCAAATATGTTGATGCAAATTGCATCAATTTTATCATCCAAAAGCGCGTGAATAGATAAATCGGGCGATTTTTTATTCCAAATTTTCCCTTTTTAAGGTTTTTTTTCACTAAGTAGAATTCTCCTTTCTGCTTTGCGAAGAAAAGGGGCTGAACACCTTTTGCTGAGAACACCTTTCTGTGTAGGCGGCCTTCGGCCACGCTTAGGGATTACAACCCTCACAAAGTAGAATTCTCTTTCTGTTTTGCGAAGAAAAGGGGCTGAACACCTTTTGTAGAGAACACCTTTCTGTGTAGGCGGCCTTCGGCCACGCTTAGGGATTACAACCCTCACAAAGTAGAATTCTCTTTCTGTTTTGCGAAGAAAAGGGGCTGAACACCTTTTGTAGAGAACACCTTTCTGTGTAGGCGGCCTTCGGCCACGCTTAGGGATTATAACCCTCACAAAGTAGAATTCTCTTTCTGTTTTGTGAAGAAAAGGGGCTGAACACCTTTTGCAGAGAAAACCTTTCTGCGTAGTGAAATGGGTTAACGCGCTTTATATTGTTAAAAAATAAAATAAAATACATTTAATGTACACAAATCACACGTGAACATTGAAAAGATCGTGCATTTATGCAAGTACAAGTGATAGCTGCCGCTGTCGGCCGCTGTGGTGTAGTGGTAAGCAGTGCGCGCTTCCACTCCGCAGCACCCGGGTTCAAACCCTGGTCAGCGCAACATCGCAAAAAATATAGAAATAAGGTTTCTTCTTAACAGCGGTCGTCCGTCGGCAGGCAATGGCAAACCTCCGAGTGTATTTCTGCCATGAAAAACAGCTTCTCATAAAAATACAGTCGCCGTTCGTAGCCGTCGTAAAACTGTAGGTCCCTGCGCTTTGTGTGACAATATCAAGGCGCACGCCACAAGTCGGAGGATGAGCTCGGCCAAACACTAACATATGTGTAAGCGCCAATCTATTATTATTATTATTATTATTATTAAGTGAAAGCTGCACTTTTTGTATGAAAATTTGCTAATGGAAGTGCAAAATATCTAAACAAAAAATTACTTAAATACTAGTGAGAATTTATGTAAACATATCTGTTTCTTAGCATCGCCGTAAAGTTTAATGAGAAAATTCGTTATAGTTTTGCTAAAACACACACATGTCGACTAAAGTCAACCCGGACCTATTACCATGGGTTTGTAATTATAACTAAATATATTAAAGCTTCTAATATTAATCTAGGTTGTACCAAATCGTTAATTTAGTTGAAAGGTTTGATAAATACTAATAAATATTTCTTTGAAGCATATTTCTACAAATTCCATTCAACTTAACGTATGGTTCATAAAAGGATGGTATTAAGCTCTGCTAATGCAGATAAAATAAGGTAAGTCTCCCCCCGAAACGGCGATCTTTTATTTTAGTACATATGTATGTATTTATGAACAAAAATTGTTGAAGGAAAGCATGTCCAAAATACAACCATGCATTTACAACCGTGCTTTTAGTTAAATTTAATTCGTTCTAGAATTCTAACCAAATCGTAAATTTTCACTGCTGACACTCATTTGAAAGAGAAAGAAAAATAGGAGAGACAATTTTTGTCAATTAAGATAATCTATCAGTTAACAAATACTCCCGTTACACTTTGAAACCAGATCAAAATCTTTTAAGAAACCTCAAACTAGTAGAATTAAACAATTTAAAAGCAGTTGTGTTTTAAATTGTAATTTTAAGTTGTTGTTATCAATTACAAATTAACTTTTTAACCGAATTCAAAAAAGGAGAAAGCTATCAATTCGTCGGGATATTATTCTGCATTATCCTGAGTTTCGCACGAAAAAACATTCACCCGAAAATTTTTCATCCGCCCATAGTAAAAACATGGAAACGAAAAGTGAAAAGTGAACCAGTTCGGAGAAAATGAAACTCATGATAAGGCTGATTATTTTGTTTATATATGAATGTTATCGCATACCTTTGGACCACGTTAAGCGATTTCTATACTTCTTTCTTAAAGAAAAGGTGGTACCTCAGAGGTGATCCCGTACTAATTCGGTTTAGATGCGCTCATTTGATAATGAAGAAATTACGGTAATCTCAAATTTTTACATCAGGAAGTCGGTTTTTTTCTTGCTCAAAAATTACTTGTATTAACCCATATGCAATGGGAACTCACAATGGATATATAACGCGTTGTCGTGTTTTTTGTAATTTTGTTTTTATTTTTTATTATTAAAAAAGTATAATAAATAAAAATCTGACGTTTTTTGGCCGAAATTACGATTTTTTTTTTAAATTTACGATTTTTGAGCGGAAGTTTTCGGCAACGCTGGAGCCACCCCTAACGAATGTTGAGCGCTCTCTGAGCACATGTGTGTTTCACATACGAAGAGCGCCAGCTGAGCAATGCACACAGACCCACTTATTGAATCGTTTGAATATGTTAGTATGCCGACAATTGCATAAGAACGATTCAATGAATGAGACTGGGTGCGTGGAAATCATTGCTGCGCTACCGCTGTTCGTAGATTGGTGAAACACGCATGTGGTCACAGAGCGCTCAGTAAAAGTGCCCACACTCACTGACGTGTACGTATGTCGTGTCTGTTTGACGTATCAACGTATAAAATTTACTGTTGATAGAGAGAGAGAGAGAGAAGCAGTACATGTCATGCGTAACCGTCGCACGTACACTATGGTGAATTTTCATTTACATCAGGATTCAATAATAGGAGCGTTCCTTATCTCCCAGAAATAGTCAGAAAAAGTCCGAAGTAGTCAGATTTAGTCCAAAAAGCGTTCCTTAACTCGGAAATGACAGCAAAAATGAGAGAGCAACAGTCAGTGAGAGCGACTCTCATCAGTCCGAAGTAGTCAGATTTAGTCAGAAGAATTTTTTCTGGCAAAATCCTGAAAAGTGTCAAACTCAACTGAATTTAAATTAACGGAAATTAAAGAATACGCTAAAAGTGAGAATAATCTAAGAAGTAAAAGAAATGAATTGAAATTGGAAGGAGGCAAAAAATAATTGATATAGCAAGTGTTTATTGTGCTTGTGCTTGTGTGAATGTGTTTTGTACATACATTTCTGTTCTTATTTGACGTTAGTTTTGTTGTTGCCATTCTTTGGACTAAAAATTTGGTTTTTTGCGTTCCTTTACTTTTCCTGTTATTCTCTTTTAGAAAGCGCATTTTGCTTACGCTCTGGCATTTTGACACTTTTCAGATTTTAGTCCAAAAAGATAAGGAATGAACCTAATACAAGGTTCGATAAACTGACAGTTGTCTCTCTCGCACCGCTCCCTTAGCAGTGGCACCGTGTTGTTTCTTTGCAAATTTACTTGGAAAAAGTGTAGCTTTGCTGTGAAATAGAAGTATAAGCTTTTGTGCAATATGTTTATTTGTATATGCATGTGAAGCACATTTAACTGATGAAAACATAACTTGTTTTTAAATTGGATGTTTACATAAATCTCATAGTAGTTTTATTTTAATTTTGAGTCCTTTTGCAATTTTTATACAGCTAAATAGCACATAAATTACGTAATTCATGTAGATGTATAAATATTTCGTTCAATATTTCGTTTAAAATGCCAGATTTCCTGCAAATACATAAGAATTTACAAAAGGAATTTCACTACTAATTGCCCACCTTGCGTACTTTTCTACTACCATTTTCGCAACAAG